CCATATGAAGTCTCCTATTGATTTCTGTAGGGGAGCTAAGTCAGTTTTGGTGATTGGTATTGATAGGGCCTGGAAGTAGAATAGCAGTCTGGGCATTATGTTCATTTTTATTGAATGGATCCTTCCCATCCAGGACACCGTTTTGTCGACCTATATGTCTAAATTGCTAATCAGGGTTTTGAATATGGGTATGTAATTGGAGGAGAATATATTATACATTTTTGTACATTGAAAACACTGCAGGTTTTCAATTCCATTACAGCCAAGGTAGCATGTAATCCCATATTTAAAATATTTGTCAATGTATTTTCTTTTTGTTGTTGACATTTTCTCTTAGGGCACAGAATTGTAACATATACTCCCCCCAGCCCCTCCATGTACCTCATCTCCCACCCCTCAACGTGTCTCATTCCTCCCCTAGTCCTCAATGTATCACAATCCTACCCACCCCTCCATGTGTCTCATCCCCCCATCCCTCCATGTGTCTCATTGCCCCCTCTTCCCTCCATGTGTCTCATTCCCCTACTCCTGCATGTGTCTCAACCCCATGTATCTCAACTTTGTTAAGTGGTTAACCACTAGGTTATATGGGAATAGAACAACATTCTAAATGAAAAAGGAGGAGTGTAACCCCTAACAAAGATTATCAAAAATTGTAAAGACAGGTTTTTCCAAGAACTATAATATTACATGTGGTGCTAAAATATAACTTTTATTAGTCATTTGAAGAACTGCCTGACAGGCAAAACACACATTGTGGGCTCTGTTTCACATCCTACGTTGTCGCAGAATGATTTATGCATTATATTGTTGTTAGGCTGAGACCTTTGGATTGCAACTTTAGGATTTGCAGTGATCTAACCAGCAGGGCTGGACTGGAGACATAAAGCAGCCCTGGAAAAAAAAATGTATTGTCACATGTAATATGTAAGGCTATGTCTTGCCACCCCAGATGATTAAGTAATATGTAAACACACACACACACATTATATATATATATATATATATATATATACACACACACACACACAATGTGTTTATATATTACTCAATCATCATATTATTGATTAATAACCAATATTGGGTAATATATACACACACACACAAGCTGTAAAATTTCTCAGATTCTGGGCTCTAGGAAGACGCTTCCAATTCTGGGGACTCCCATTTGGCCTCAGTTTGGCACCAAGAACTTTCTCAAAAGTTCTTGTCACTTTGACAGCCTTCATAAAGGTGACAGGTATTGAAATCTTCCATTACTTGGACGATATCCTTATCATAGGTCTATTATAGATCTATCCCAAAGGATAGTGGCTCATCATACTTTGGTAACAATAAACATTCTTCAAGATCACGGTTGGCTTCTGAATGTAGAGAAAAGCTCCCCAATTCCTTCTCAAAAGATCGTATTCCTTGGAGCAGTGATAGACACGATCTCAGCCCATGTGTTCCTCTCTCCAGGGAGGGCCATAAAAATCGGAAAACGACTCGAAACGGCCTCAGTGAGAGAAGTCATGAGTCTCCTTGGTTCATCACATCAGTGATTGGGCTGGTAAAATGGGCCCAATGGAAGTTTGGCCCTTTTCAGAATTGCTTCCTTCTTCAATTCGACAGAGTGGAAGCAAAGGATAACTCTGCCCCTGCCGGTAAGAAAAAGGTTGAACTTGTGTAGGGGCAGAAATAATTAGGCAAAAGGCTTCCTGTTAGTGGAAACCCCTTGGAACCTTATTACAACAGATGCAAGTTCTTTTGATGGGGTGCCGACTTCAATTCCACATGGAAACAAGGGAAGTGGACCCGAGAAGAGAGTCACCTACACTCAAATTTAAGAGAGCTAAGAGCCATTTCCAAAGCCATCTTGGTATTCCTTCCGATGATCGCAAAATCTTGGGTCCTGATCAAAACGAACAACCAATCGGTTGTCTCGTATGTGAACAACCAAGTAGGCACAAGAAGCAGATTTCTCTTGAAGGAACTAGCTCCCTTGAGGAACGTGGCCAAGGTCTGAAGGCAATTTATCTTACGGGTTCAGAGAACGTTACTGCGGACTTTCTCAGCAGAACAGAAATCTTTCAAGGAGAATGGAGACTTCACCTGGCAGTCTTTTCATGGATTGCCCATCGGTGGGGCATACCCCAGATCGACCTGATGGCAACTTACCAGAATTTTCAGGTAGAGAATTACTACTCTCTCCGTCCGGACAATCGGGCGATAGTCCAGGATGCTCTCTCCCTTCCTTGGCCGTTCGATCTGGGGTATACGTTTCCTCTCCTACCCATGATACGGAACGCCTCAAGTTGGGCGTGTGGGTTTTTAAAAGGAAAGACTTTGACAATTAGATCTTTTGCAAGCAGTGGTCAATACCCTTTTGCAGTGTAGGAAGGGTTCTACTTTCTCGTGCTACCATAGAATCTGGGATATATTTCCAGAATGGGCATCGGCCAAGAACATTGATTTCTTGCATCGTCACAATAATCAGATACTGGATTTCCTCCAAGAAAGTCTGGACAAAGGCCTTAGCATCAGCACTCTTAGAGTTCAGTCCTTGGCTCTTTCAGCATTATGCAATATCTCATGGACTTCGGATCCTTTGATCTCCAGATTTTTCAAGGCAGCATTCAGGTTGAGACCTCCTTCCAGATCTGGTACTCCTCCGTGGGACCTTCCTGTTGTTCTCAACTACCTGACTGATGATCTGTTCGTTCCCCTTGAAAATTTGGATACTACCCTTCTGACTTGCAAGACTTTGTTTTTGGTGGCTATTACTTCCGCAAGAAGAATTTCGGAGATTAAAGCCTTTTCGACCATGTCTTCATGCCTACAGATCTATCAGGATAGGGTGTGTCTGAGACCAAAACCCGAGTTTCTTACTAAGGTGGTCTCTCAGTTTCATCTCTCTCAAGAAGTGGTCCTTCCATCATTCTACCCCAATCCAACTTCTTGAGAGGAAGTTAGGTTGCAATGTTTGGATGTTAAGAACTGTCTGTCTATGTACCTTTTTGGTTCTAAGTCATACAGAAAGACTGACCAACTCTTCGTTCTACCTTCAGGAGCTAGGAGAGGTGAGGCAGCTTCTTTATCTACGTTGAAACGTTGGATTTCGATAATAATCAGGAAAGCGTATGTCTCTAAAGGTCAGTCTCCTCCAATAAAGATAAAATCACATTCTACCAGAGCATTGTCAACTTCATGGGCTAATTGGGCAGAGATTCCATACGATGATATTTGCAAGGCAGCCACCTGGTCTTCCCCGATGACGTTCAACACTACAAACTGGACGTGGCCTTCCTTCTACCTTCCTTGGCAAGAGTGTTCTGTCTGCAGTTTCTTTATCCCATTGTTATTAAACCTCTTTGCAGCATTAGTGTCTGTATAGTGTCTTTTTCTCGTTTTCTTTCTTCCCACCCTATATTTCTGATAGCTTGGGTATTACCATAAGCGATGCTGCCATGATTAGCCAGGAGTAGAGAAAATGTATAACCAACTTTTCCTGGCTATTTCTCATGGCAGCATCAGGGTTCCCGCCCATTCTTTTATTTTTTCAGCTTTATAATTGGACTGTGGTGTAAGGGGTGGAGGGACTCTTTATACCTATCAGTCTAATTAATTTCTGTCCTGTGGCTGCTAAGGGAGGAGCTAACCATAAGTGATGCTGCCATAAGAAATAGCCAGGAAAAGAAAATGACGGTGAGTTGGTTATAAATTTTCTCTATTCTCCCCTAGAAAGGCTGAATTAAGACCTTAAACCAAAAGGTGGTCTACACAGTGTCTCATCTTGGTACTAAATACCCAGCTTGCCAAAAGTTTGTTTTTTTCCCCCCATTTTATTTCAATGATCAATCTTAAGTTCCTCAGTGAACCATTAGTACTGTACAGTAATACTGTAATGTGTTAGGGCTGCTCTTACATTTTATTGTTTAATGACTATCTAGAGGTGGTTATGTCTATCTGGAGTTCCCCCATTGAATTTCCTAAATATAATTCACAATGATACTTTTCTTAGGGTCATGTTGAAAGCTTTTGCATTCAACAATATTGTCAATTTCTGTGTCCCTCAGGAATATCGAATATGCCTTATACTGTACATTGTTTTATTCCACATGTCTCTCATTCGACAGTGTAGGAAAGTTTGTAATGGGCTGTGACTCACGTTGAGAAGGACTACGGAAAGTACTGTACAGTATACTTACCTTTATTCAGGACGGAAACTCTGATCTCGCTGACAATTGCATAGGCGGTCGCCAGCAGCCTAGTTGTGGCCGCACCAGCCACCAGCTCCTCCCTCTTTACTCCCCTCGGACTGACACAAGCTGGCACAGTCTGAGGGGAAAATCATTTAAAATTACATGATCCTGATGAGGTGGGCCTTCCAGGTGCCTCGGCCCACCAGGAATTGTCCCGGTGGGCTAGTTCAGCCCTGCTAACCAGCTAGTAAAATACATTTATATATTTGTTGGAAGTATCTATTAACTTGATATCGTAGGTTTCCTCGAAAGGCATAGTCAGGGAATTGCGTTTGCACTTAATGTTTGCAGATAATAAGATGCTCTTGAAAGCATTGTACCAAGATTTAGAATACTATCTAGTAATCACCCTTGAAATCCCTGTGACCGATATTGTTCTGTGACATTGTTACTTATCTGTCAAATTGATTTACAGTATTGTTCTGTATCTCTAGAATTTATGTTATATTACTTGAACAATTTCTAGCTGTCTCTATATGACTAATAAAAGTTATGTTTTAGCACCGCAGGTAAAATGGGATCATGCAAAGCTCACTACCCACAATGTATGTGTCTGCTGATGATATGATATCCAATAGAAACACTGAATGTATCTCCTGATAATGTGACATCTCGTAGCAACACTGTGTGTGTCAGCTGGCATTGTGCACCCAACCTCAGCACTGTTTGTACCTGCGAAAACATGACGCTAGACCAGGGGTAGGCAACCTACGGCACTAGTGCCATGCACGGCACTCAAGGTGTCTTTTCACGGCACTCAAGGCTGCTAGAGCCAAACAGGCTCTGGCCTATCAGGAGTCCCAATAAAACTTCAGATATCTGCTAATACGAAGAGGTGGTGAAGGACAATCCTCAATTTATGCATTGCAGCACATAGAGGAAGTGATCTCAAATCACTTCCTCCCAGCACTTGTGAATGGGAATCCACACTGTAGTAGACTCTTGCTGCTCCTGTCCTTGACCTGTACCTGGCCAGCCTGGTCCCCACTGGAACCCAGGGAAGCCACCCACACTGCTAGATATACATGGAAATGCAGAATAACCCTCCCCTCATACAAATAATACGAACAGCCCACACACAAACATACACACAATCCGCACAAACATAACCCGCTAACAATCCACATACATGCACACAACCCCACATTCAGCCTCTCACATGCAATACCCCAAACAGCCCACACAAACTACCAAACACACAATGTGACATATCCATCCACACACAATTCCACAAGCAGCCCTCATACACAGCCCACATTTATATGTATCATACACGATACCATAAACTACTAATGAACATATTCAATCTAATAGCTCATATGCGCACAAATACAATGATACAAAGCAATTATAGTTTAAATAACACAAGTAGAATACGGCAACATACACACCTCAATTTAAAAAAAGATAGGATCGGCACGCTACGGGACATCACAATCCTATATCGGCACAGTGCTGCTAAAAGGTTGCCTACCCCTGCGCTAGACTATCCCATCTTTCCATTTACAGTTTTATTGTTGTCTGTTATTTCCTATGTGACTGCAGTATCGGGGACACACCTGGTTTCCAGGAGCATGATGAAAATGTATGATTATAGAAGGGAGAGATGAAACAGTGCTCATTATATTCATTACATGCACTCCAATTGTGAGAGAGTCTTTGTCTCTGGTGTGCAGAGATATGTGTGAATGCTCCATCATGCTGCTTTTGTCAGTCAAATTTGTATGAATAGGACCATCCAACTAGAGATCAGTGAGTTGCTAAAAAAACTCCATTCATTTGTACTTTTGGATATTTTTTGTGCCCTCAAATAAGATGTGGACACCACAAGGCCCTTAAGGGAGTGTCCTTCCTTGTTTGTTAATGTAACAGCCTGCGGGTACTCCAGCTGAGTTCCCACATTACTTCTTGGCTTTCTAGGTATGTTTGGACCAACCTGTATCACCTTTCTGAGTTTAGGTATTCGGTGTGATTAGGAGCGCTCAGATGTAAAGTAATCTAAACAACATTCAGAGGTGAAATGTAGCAAGTGATTATATCAGTAAATATAGCCGTGATTATAGCCTTTACCCCACACCTTGAGTTGAAACTACACATAGGGGTTAAACAGAACTAACTTTATTGCATCTGTGCAAGATATTTATACACGCAAAGGGTCATTTGAATACAATAGGGTAATGAACAGTACATTTAGTTCCCCATCAAGTCTTCTTCACATTACTCCTTGTTTGTCTTGCTGAAAACAACCTCAACCCCACCAAAACAAACAAATGCTCAGGTCCATTTTGCCCATATAATTCAAACAAATGCCCCTTTTAAAATTCCCACCCAAGCAAGAGGACACCCTACCCTGAAACCCTAGGTCCATGACAGTTAATTTTTCTGACCTTGATTGACTGTCATTCTCTTCAGTTGACTCAAGTCCATGATGTAGAAGACTTATGCCCTAACCAATAAGTCTTGTGATCTATGGATCAAATCTGCAAGGCAGCCACTTAGTAGTCCTTGCAAGCATTTTTCAAATGTTATTATTTGTGTTTTTGCATTCATTGACAATGATTTTAATAAGAATGAGCTCTGGACAGTTGTTTCCATTTAGTCTACATCACTGCTTGTGCTACATTTTGTGGTTGCCTTGTGCCCTGCTCTACTTGTATATGATATCCCAATATGCTTGCTTTGTTGGTTCTTCATGCTTTTCCTCCACTTCTGCCCAGCTATATGTAGAACTGAATATATTAAAGGAAGGGCTAGGGAGGGAGGGGCATTCTGAAGAGTTGCATTATGGGTATTTCTACCCTTATACCAGATGTCGCAATCCAGAAGGAAATTAGTTTGTCAGATAAGACGCAGATTTTATGTTTTCATTTCAGAACAATTTTAGAGGTCTGTTCTTTAAGAACTCAATGACCTTGGTTGCCCACATTTAACAGTTAGAATGTTTGCAGTGTTTTGCACTTGAATTTGACTGTCAGTTATCTATCAAAATAATTAGAACCTCTACATAAGTTTGCTTGTTCAAATATTCACAAACAAACATATTGTAGTTTAATTGCAGTCAAATTCCATTTGTTCATTTTAAAAAAAAATTACTGATACAGACAATGGACATTGATAATGTAATTGTTAACTCCCTAAGCCTAATGTCACTCTCAGGGCTGGTGCAAGGATTTTTGGCAAAACACTGGAAGATGCATTTTCAACACCCCCTTCAGATGATTTCATTTTTTTTCCTATTTACTGTGCATCTCTCACAGATATCATGAGTGTGTTGCCTTTCACCAAGGATGTCTGTGTGAGAGCTGCACAATTGCAACTCCCATAACTGCATGGCCCCCACACAAAGCCTGGTTTACTTTCAGTATGTCTGTTGAAGCAAAATTTGGTATGTGCCACAAATCCACTATACTCTGCCTGCTTAGCTACATCTGTGCCTTACAAAAGATTCCAGGCACCACTATGGGCAGAGGCGTAACTAGAATCCATGGGCCCCGGTGCGACAACAGCCCAGGGCGCCCCCCCCATATGTCTCACTCCCCCCCCTCAGCCCCTCCATGTGTCACACTCACGCCCCTCAATGTGTTGCATTCATACAAACACACATTGACATACATGCAGACACACACACCGTGTAACACATACAGATACACTTTCACACATGATGATACACAGACACATACACACAAACTAACACACAGAGACATATATATATACATATACATACACACACACACACACACACACACACACAGATACACAGACCGAGAATTGCACACTTTGAGATACACAGTATGACACTACTATAGATACAAACACTGACACAAATACAGATATACATGTGGATACACAGACATGCAGACAGATACACAAACACTTAAGGACATTAAACATTAAAATACACAGATACTTACAGATACACAGGGCACACACTGACATACAGATACACAGACATAGATGCAGACAAACAGATACACATATACACACACACACACACAGAGACACACACACACAGAGACACCCCCCTTGGAGTGACAGGCCCGGTCGCAGTTGCGACCCCTGCGACCGCGGTAGTTCAGCCACTGACAACAGGGCTGTTTGGGAAGATCACAGTGATCACAGCTATGCGCCATCTTCCCCTTTCCTCCACGGGCTGATATATTTGGTCAGAGAAGGTAGATGCAGTGTGGGTAAGAGCAGGTGCCTATTCTGCCATAATGAAACTGCCCAAAGCGCAGGGCTGTTTTTGCTTCCCTATTATGGGGTGGCCTAAGGCGGCTGCAATGGTCGCTCTAAGTAAAGATGGTGGAATGCTAGACTGTACTCCTGAAATTTGTCTCTGCCCCCTGAGTTGTTGGGTTCTGTAAATTTAAACCTATGTACATTTACTGACCCAATTAGACATAATGCCTACTTCATCACTGTAAAACCTGTAGCTATACATATCTGAAAATCAACAACAACTTTAAAGAGGTCAACCTTACTATCTGGTACTGCTGCCCAGTGAAAGCACTAGAACATTATACAGGCCTGTCTGTCTTTTAGGGTTCCAGGACACGTCTGCTCACTGCAAAGCTAATAGGTGACACCAAATTTCATGATAGGCCAGACCAAGTATGTCTCAAAATATATTTTATATACCGTATTTATCGGCGTATAACACGCACCGGCGTATAACACGCACCTCATTTTAAGAAGGAAATTTCCGGAAAAAAATACTTAAATTTCAAATAAAGAACTTCTCCCCCTCTTCTTACCCCCCTTTCTTACTCCCCCCTCCCCCTCTTCTTACCCCCCTTTCTTACTCCCCCCTCCCCCTCTTCTTACTCCCCCCTCCCCCTCTTCTTATCCCCTTTCTTACCCCCCCCTCCCCTCTTCTTACCCCCTTTCTTACTCCTCCCTCCCTCTTCTTACCCCCTTCTTGCCCCCCCTCCCCTCTTCTTATCCCCCTCTTCTTACTTCCCCCACTCTCTTTTTACCCCCTCCCCTGTAGCGTGGCCGAGCTGCTCTGCTGTCCGCGGTGCCCGGCCGGAGTGATAGGAAGGTGCACGCTCAGTGTGCACCTTCCTGTCAGTCCGACCGGGTACAGGAAACAGAAACTCCTGTTCCGCGCGGAACAGGAGTTTCTGTTTCCTGTACCCGGTCGGACTGACAGGAAGGTGCACACTGAGCGTGCACCTTCCTATCACTCCGGCTGGCCACCGCGGACAGCAGAGCAGCTCGGCCACGCGGGAGGGGAGGTGAGAACCAACTGCAGCCGCCTGACCGCTATTGACAGAGCGCTCAGGCGGCTGCAGCATTTAAAGGGCCGGCGTATAACACGCACCCATAATTTGCCCCCTATTTTCAGGGAGAAAAAGTGCGTGTTATACGCCGATAAATACGGTATATATCTCACATTTGGACTTGAGGAAAGGAGATTTAGACTAAGGTAAAAGAGAGGTTTCTTTTTTGTACAGTAAGAACAATAAGGATGCAACATATTCTGCCTGAATAAGTGGTGTTTATCAGAATCTGTACAGATCTTAAACTGCAACTGGATTAATACTTGCAAATACATAATATTTAGGGATATAATTTCTAATTTGTGGGGTAATCGCTTCTTGATCCAAGGAGAAATCGTACGGCCATTTTGGGGTCATTTTGGGGAATTTACTAGTTTATTACAAAATTGGAAAGCGCTTAGATCTGGGTTTTTCACCTTATTTTGGTTCAACAGCAAAAACAGATGCGAGAAAGGCTGAACTTGATGGACGCATGTCTCTTTTCAGTCTATGTAATATACCCAGAAAAAGATTCATTTTTCAAAAGTACTCCAAAATCTTGACATGATGATTAGTAGATCCTTAGTAAGCAATAAATAGAGATGAGTAAATTGTAGAACTAACATGACTGATATACAATTTTGTTCACAAACATATCATTAGTCCTTACCCTAGTTTTATTTATCTGTACTAATTTATTCAATCAGCTTAATATTTTTTTTTTTTTTTTTGCATGGGCGGTATTCAGATGAGCTTAAGCATCACCTATATGACTATTGGACCATCCAAGCTATTTTTCTTTTTTTTTTTT